GCATTTAGTAAAGGTAAATAGTAATTTGCTATACAGATATTTATATCCTGATGACCCATATGTGCTGGGAGAATCCACCCTCAGAGCTTAAATTTCATTTGAGGAGCCCAGGCAGATAAGACATGTACATGAAAGAGTTAAAAAACAGCAGGAGGTGGTCTGAGACTAACTTACTACCACGGGAGTTCAGAGGAGGGTCACCAGGGCTGAGCAGTCCCGAATGCCTGGGAGGAGCAGGGTCTGACATGGGCTCTAAAGCAATGATTTTGATTTTAAAACTTTTTGCTTGCCTACCCTCTACATGAACTTTGGCAGAAAAAAGTCTCTTTGCCTCACACATTTTAACTTGACATCTGAAAAGTTTCATTATAAGTTTAAGTAGTTACAAAGGGTATAATTTCTGCCATATTGTAAATATTGACCTTGTAGAATACAATTACACTACTCTCTTACATGCATCAAATGGAAGCTAAATAACAGCAATTTTTAATTTTTCCTTTTTATTGAAGTTTCATGTATAGACAGTAAAATGCACAGATCTTAAGCATGCAGCTCAGTTAATTTTTATCAGTGTACTGACTACCCAGGTAGAGGTGGGTATATATCCAGCATTCCAGGAGGTAGCTTTGTGGCCCCTCCCAGTCAATATCCCCCCACAGGTGACATTTCTCTGAACTCTATTGTCACTATATCATCATATATACCAGCATAAACTAGTTTTGCATCATTTCCTTTGTTCTGGCTTCTTTCAATCAGCATGAGGTCTGTGAGATTCAAGCATGTTGCTGCAGGTAGCAGTAGTTCATTTTTCATTGTTGCACAGTATTCTATTGAATGAATTTTTCATATTAAAAAGCCTTGTCTACTCTTAATGGGCATTTTGGGTTGTTTCTAACATTTGGCTGTAAAGATACTGTGATTTTTCTTCTCTCTCTATATTTTGTGGACATAGACACTGATTTCTTTGGGGTATGTATCCATGAGTGTAATTGACAGGTCATAGGATAAACATGGGAATACATTTAGTATCCACCACCATTCATCAAAAATTACCTGCACAAGTCAGAAATTTACATTGTTTCTTTCTTTACCTTCTTGAACTCATAATTCCCTTCTACTTCCTTCACAGGACTTTATCTTACTATATTTTCATGCTTGAAAAACTTTTATTGATTACTCTATCATATTTTTTTTTACCCAAAATATGTATGTGAGTGGAAATGGATGTTTAAAAAATTTCCTTTGACCACCAAACTCTAAATTATCTTTCTTTTGGGTTGATTTATCATACAACTCATTAAAATAACATCAATGTTTTATAATTTGATAAATAACGACTAAACATAAAAAGTAAGATAGTATGGGAAACACTTCTCACAATGCAGTGAATAGGGAGATGGATGGCAGTGCTTCTCCTATGTTAAGGTGCATAAGGACCATCCAGGGATCCTGCTAACATGCAGATTCTGATGCAGAAGGGCTGGGTTGGAGCCTGAGATTCAGCATTGCCAATGCTGTGGGCCCATGGATTGCATTTCGAGTAGCGAGGTCCCTAGATTAAAGAGTTGCTAACACCAGCAGTCTCCATGGTCCACTTTTTGGTGCCCAGACACCTTGACACTTAGGAACACTGCATCATAGTCAGATTCTGGATGAGGGAGAAGTTGGTCTTCTGCAAGGAGGGAGAAGGCCTATTGTGAAGGGAGAGGTGGGAAAAGAGGGGTGGTGTCATCGAGACTGAGCCACATTCTCAGGCAGAGCAGAAGAGTGGGGATGGAAACAGGATCTCCAGCTGGTTCCCTTAGAGCTCTTCCTGCCCGCGGCTCCTTGGGGAGCTTCGTGTACAAAGGGTAGGGCTGCCCCTTTGAAGACCACTTCTCTCAAGGATGCTAAGACGGTGCCACCACCTTTTCAGACAGGGTGCCCATTAATGCAGGCGGGATTGGACATTTCAGGGACTGGTTTGGATGGTTTTACAGTGTGCTGGGGGTAAATCCCGAGGAGTTAGGTTTGGGGCTGGGTGGTAGATGGCCTTGAATCCATGCGATGGAGTTGGATTTAATACTCAGGCAGAGGGGGCCATGGGCTGATTTGAGCAGGGCACTGGTATGAGCAGAGTGCTGTGGGGAGACTGCTCTGTCGAGCAGCTCATGGACGGCTGGGAAAGAGTTCAGGCAGTGACAACACTGGGGTCTTGACAATAAGGTTGGCTGTGGTTACTGGGATACCCAGGCTGTGATTTTTATCTCCACCACCCTCCAGTCCCCACCCTCACCCCTAGCTTTTGAACTTTTGCCCGGTTTGCTCGGTCAGTATTTCCTGAAGTGTGGGCTGCATGCCTCTAGTGCAGTGATGGTGAACCTTTTGAGCTCGGCGTGTCAGCATTTTGAAAAACCCTAACTTAACTCTGGTGCCGTGTCACATATAGAAATTTTTTGATATTTGCAACCATAGTAAAACAAAGACTTATATTTTTGATATTTATTTTATATATTTAAATGCCACTTAACAAAGAAAAATCAACCAAAAAAATGAGTTCGCATGTCACCTCTGACACGCGTGTCATAGGTTCGCCATCACTGCTCTAGTGGTACCTGAGACGTTAATGCATGGAGCTCAAGATAATTCAGAGTGGAACACCGGCATGGCCTTAAGTAATACTGAAACCCAAGAGCAAAAGGCATTCCCTCTCAGCCCTTTCTCGGTCCCGAGCAACATCTTTCTTTAACACCACTCATGTTCCCCTTTTCCTTTTGTCGGTAGCGAGCAGTTTAGGCTTAGGGCCTTTGATAAGCAGTCATCTCTAGTCTTTACAAAATATTTGTTTTCATTGAATTGATGTTCTATGTAACAGGATGGCAAGCGGTCCTAGTTTCCCCTTACGATAGTGACATAAAACTGTTCATTTAAAATAACCTCATTTCAGTAAGAAAAGTGAGCCAGTTTACTAGACGATATGGCAGAAATAACAATGCTGGAGGCAATATGCAGTGGTTTGACTTTGGGTTAGACCATGTGGCAAACCCTGGCAAGTGCCAGATCATTGTGCCAATGACCCAAGAGGCTCTGGGTGGTCCCCACCAGCCTAACGTCCTGTCTGTTCTTTGCCTCTGACTGCAGAGATCCGCACGCAGCTGGTGGAGCAGTTCAAATGCTTGGAGCAGCAGTCGGAGTCTAGGCTGCAGCTGCTACAGGACCTCCAGGAGTTTTTCCGCCGGAAAGCTGAGATCGAGCTTGAGTACTCCCGCAGCCTGGAGAAGCTGGCTGAGCGGTTCTCCTCCAAGATCCGCAGCTCCCGGGAGCACCAGTTTAAGTGAGAAGGGGCCAGGGTCCGGTGGGGGGTGGGGGTGGGGGCGGGGGCGGGGAGGCAGCGCTGGGGTGGGTGGGCGGTTGGCCACAAAGCTGAATGGAGGCAAGGACTCATCGGAGGGGGATGGCTGCCTCTGAGGCCCTGGGTCTGCAGGACGCTACACCTCCAAGCCTCAATCTTCCTTGGTGGAAAGTGAAGAGAGAGTAGTTCCTCCACATAAGGATGCTGTAGGGAATAAATGAGCAACCCGAGAAGACTGCTTTCGCAGACAGTAAGTGCTCAATAAATGGTTGCTGTCACTCTCATCCACCAAGCACTGTGGGAGCTAGCCTCCATTTGGGCCAAGGTGACTCCCCACCTCCCTTCAGGTCATCCTGGCCCTATCCAGTTCTCTTGTACTTCAGGGTCCACCAGCCTACTTCCAAATTCCTTCAGCACAAGGACCTCAGCATTTCTTCTCCATGGAACTGATGCTCAAAGCATTCCTCTTCATTACTCCCTGGGGGACCCATGCTGCCTTATTACTCACCTGAGACACACAGACTCTGTGCTAATTTCTCACACCCCACGTGCTGCGTTCCTGGAGGCCTGGTCCTCTCAGGTCTGTAGGGACTCTGAGTCCTCCAGCTACAAAACTCTCCTAGTGCAGGCAGAAGCCAGCCTCCCCGGGAGGCATTCACCCGTGGGCAGCACCACTTTGCAGCCCTTTTTCTTTGCCATGATTCCCAGATGTTTCCCTCCTCGAAGCATCTCTCCAGCAAATGGCCCTCAGCCCCCGGAGACCAGAGACTTGCTTCAGCACACCGGACCTGATCCTTCTTCCTCTGTGTTTAATCTCTTTTCTCCCTTTTGTATATTTTTAAATTGTGGTAAAATACACGTAATAGAAAATTTACCATCTTAACCATTTTTAAGTGTACAGCTTAGTGGCATTTCTGTATCATCAGCACCATCCATCTCCAGAACTTTTCTTCTTCCCAAACTGACACTCTACCCATTCAACACTCACTCCCCCCCCCGCCCCCCCGCCCCCCCCCCACCCCCAGTAGAATGGCAACCACCATTCTACTGTCTCTATGGACCTGACTACTCTAGGGACCTCATTTAAATGGAATCACACAGTACTGGGCGTTTGTGACTGGCTTATTTCGCTTAGCATAATATCCTTAAGGTGCATCCATGTTGTCGCATGTGACATAATTTCCTTCCTTTCAAAGGCTGAATAGTGTTCTGTTTATGTACAGACCACATTTTGTTTATTCATTCATCTGTCGTTGGATGCTTGGGTTGCTTTTGCCCTTCTTTGTAATTTTGTATTCCACTCTGGGCAGGGAGCACGCATCCTTTAAACACCTCTAAACATCTTCCTCAGTCTGGGCCACAGCATTTGAACACTTGCTTTGGTGCCTTTTTCTCTTGACATTTGGGAATAAGAAATGGCTTTATTAAAAGGCAAAAATTCATTACTCCTTTGCAAATATCGTGCTTGTTTTTCTACTCAGTCCCATCTCTTTAAATGTTCACTGCAGAAGGGAGCTTCTATTAATAACTTTCTCCCCGGCACTGTCAAGGTCCTTTCACATACAGAATCTCATTTTTCTGATATATTTTTTGGAGAAATTTTATGTTTTTTTTTTCAAGTGACAAAAGTAAAATTCTCATTGTATACAATTTAGAAAGTACAGAAAAATAGGAGAAAAAGATGCACAGTCCTGACAGTCAGAATCAACCGCTGCGCACATTTTGGTGCCTATTCTCACCTGTCCTTTACTAATAACAACAGCAACAATAATTTATTGAGCGGGTTAACTGAGCATTTCTTTTGTGCCAGGTGGGTATTACTATCTCATCTTACAGATGAAGACAGTGACTTTCTGAGAAAGTAGACCAGCCATTGGAGACGGATTCGAACCGTCACTCTAGTTCTGCCGCCTCGGCCCGAGACAGGAAAGGGCCTGGGTGGAGCCTGGGGGCAGCTGTGGAATCCGAACACTCCCCTGAAACCACAGGCACCCACACGCACTGGGAGACACAGGCTGGGAAGCCCAGGTCTCAGGCTGGGCTGTCACTGGAGCCATCCAGGCCTGTGTGGCCGCCTGGAGCATCAGCTCCTGCCCCCTCTCCTTCCTGTTGGTTTGGAGTCAGATCCCTTCCCATTCTCAGTGTGAACAGGGACGGGAGGGGAAAGGCGGGGTCGCCTGTTCCCTCGCTTCGCCTGTAATGAGCTTGGCCAGCCCCTCCTGGGTTCATTAACCGGAGCCACCAGACGGAACAGGAGCCCCAGCTGGCAGTCGGGCTAAGCAGGCTGCTTGACAGAGTATGAAAGTCTAATTAGGGAGTGGGCCAGGCCAGTGCAGCTGGTGTGGGCCTCTGCATGATGCTGATGTGACTGCAGAGCCCCCAGTGGGTTTTGGAAACAGGAGTCTGTCTGGATCTGCCCTTTGACCCCAGGGCCAACCAGCACTGACCCCTGGCTGCCTCTTCTTTGGAGCCTCACGTAGGGTCTTCTTCCTGGCTTTCCAGAGAAGCCCTGTCCTTCTGTCTCACAGATACTTCATTTAAGAGTGTCTCTCTGTCTTCCAGATAGTCTCTCAGATCCTTGAGGGCAGGGTCCAGGTCTTGTCATTTTATTCCCACTGCGATCAGCCCAGTGCTGGGCAAAGATGGGGTGTTTGCCAATGAGTGGGAGAAAGGGAGGGAGGGGATTTACTCAGTCTATAAAGTCCACTCTGGCTGAGAGGTTTGGTTCAGAGAGGGAATTAGTTTGTTCAAGATCTTACAGCAAATTAGTGGCAGAACTGGGATGGGAACCATCTTAGTCTGTTTGGCTGCTATAAAAAAGCACTATTGACTGGGTGGTTTTTAAACAGAAATCTATTTCTCACAGTTCTGGGGGTTGGAATTTCAAAATCAAGGTACTAGTATGCTTGTGTTCTGGTAACAGCCCCCCGCCCCCCACTTTGTTTTTTGGCTGGTAGACTGCTGATTCTCCTTCTATTCTGAAGCGGCAGAGAGCAGAGAGATGAAGTAAGCTCTAGTGACACTTATAAGGGCACTGATCCCATTCATGGGGGCTCCACCCTCATGACTTCATCTAATCCTAATTACCTGCAGAGGCCCCACCTCCTAACACCATCAGATTGGGGGTACGGTTTTAACATGACTTTTGGGGGACACAATAGGAACTCAGGTCTCCTGACTCCAGTGTTCTTCCTTTCGCTGTGAGCCCCAGCTGCTCCCTACCCACCTAGACAATAAAAACATTTACAGTTGCCCAGGAGGTGCTGTGTCCAGGGCTAGACTTACCTGGGTGGCATGCAATTCAAAGAAAGGCTCAAATGATGGCTCTGAGGGCTTACCTGGGGCAGGTTGACTATTGAGAGAATAATACCATCACATGTTTCTTTTCTCCTGTCACATGTTTCTATTCCATATTCTAATCACATCCTTTTCAGAGAACTCTGCCATCTTTGCTCTCTTATAATCCTGATGATAAGCCAAGGGCATAGAGAGGAGTCAGTGGTTTTATTTCAAGCCAACTGAGCACCAGACAAGCCGAGTGGCTTATCTGACAAAGGACCCCAAGCAAGCTGTTGAGTGGGAAACCCACAGTTCCCTACTTCTGAGCTCAGGCTCCTCTCTGTAGGAAGCCATGCCAGTCGTGCATTTATTTGAAATGCAAGTAATGAGGACCTCTTATTTTCTTGTGTTCTGTGCTGAAGACAAAGATTAACAAGACACAGTCCCTGCTCTCAGATATTCTGTCTTCTCTCAAGAGACAAAGCATGCCCGTGATTGGTATGGTTGGGACAGGCCCCCAACCCCTGTGGCTCTGCGCTTTGAGCCTGCCACCTGCTTGCTCTCCAGGCCTCAGCATTTAGATGTCACTGTCTTTGGAAACTTATCTTGAGTCTGACCTGGTGCTTCCTCTGTGTGCCCATCATATTCTGTACCTGTTGACTTGCTTATTCACCTAATATTTTTTGAGCCCCTGCCATGTGCCAGGCCCTGGTTTACAGTGGTGAACAGGATAGACTTGGTTCCTGCCACAGTGGAGTTTAGCATCCAGTGGAGCAGAGAGATGAAGAATCAGACATAAAGAATGAAAAGAAAGACAGTGTGTCATCAAGTGATTGCTAGGATGGAAGTAAATAATATGCTCTGTTCTGGTTATTAATTCTCTGTAACAGCAATACCTCCCAAACTTAACGTATCTCCTGCTTTAGTGGGTCAGAAATTTGGACAGGGCTCAGCTGGGCGATTTTTCTGCCTTCTGTGGCATCAACTGGAATCAGCTGGCGATATTCAGCTGGTCTGGGCTGGACGGTCCAAGACGGCTTTACCCATGTACTTGGCACTTTCGTGGGGATGGCTAGAAGGCTGGGCTCGGCTGGGTTGCCTCCCTCTCCATATGGTGTCAGGGCCCCTCTAACTAGTGCTTCAACCAGCTGTTGGGCTTTAGACGTGGTACCCCAGGGCTTGGAGAGGGAGCAAGGGGGAAGCTGCAGTCCTCTTCAAGGCAAGGCCTGGAATGGGCATATCATCACCATCAGCCCTGGCTCGGTAGGGGATAGGAAACAAAGCCCACCTCTAGTTGGAGGAATGTCAAAGGATTTGCAACTCTCTTTAGTCCTCCATACTGAGCTAGAATGGCAGTCAGGGAAGACTTCTGGAGGCAGTGGCGTTTAAGCAGAGACCTGAGAGATGAGAAGGAATAGCCATGGGACAGTGTGAGGGAGAGAGAGCCCAGGGGCTGGAACAGGTGATGGGAGTGGAGTGGGAAGTCACTGAGGCATCATAAGTAGGAAGTAGCATGATCCAATTTTTACTTTTAAAAGATTGCCCTGGGTTGAAGGGGGATAGAGTGGAGCTGAGGAGACCTGTGGGGTCGGTGGGAGTATTGCTCTTCAGGCAGCTGGCGATGGCCGCCTGAGTGGCAGCAGAGCAGATGAGGAGGAGTGGACAGAAGCTGAGAAAGCTCTCAGAGGTAGAATCGGGGCAAA